ATCGTCTTTCAATATTTCGCGGCAGTGGCCCGTTTTCCTTCATTTCTGAATCCTACGTTTGTGTTTTCAAAATCCGCACGCGCGCACTGTTCTGTTTTTCAAATGTTAATCGTTAATCTTATCGTTAATCGTTCGTTAAAATGGCAGATCCTCGAAACTTCACCATGATGACTACTTTATACGGGTTGAACCTTCGATGCGTATCGATGATTCAAGAGATGAATCGTCCATGAGAAACAACAAATAATATTGCTATTACATATTATGGTTTGTGAATTGTGACAGATTAAAAAGAGAAATAACGAAAAAGAGGATTCGATATAATTATCATCCGTTGCAACGTTATCTCGCTGTGATATTCTGCGCGTTAAGAATATATGCGATAGAATTGATACCATTTGGAGGCCATTTACTATTTTTTCTTTACAACGAACGTGAAATCCACTATTGGGGATCTACTGTTAGGATGTGCCACATCGTGTACTACAGTGAAAAGTGAGCATATTTTCGGTATTTTCTATAATATAATTTATTACAACTTAAAAAAGAACTTAAAAAATAACTGAGAAAATCGGAAAGACAGAATCTTCGATATACAAACGTAAATTGTATAATTTACGTCAGAATTTTTTTTTGCTTTAAATGGTTAAATGATAAATTTATACATCTTCAATCATGTTGGTTCTTGCTCATCCAAGGTGTGGGACAACACAAAGTTTCCCCAATATTTTCATCTAGCCTCATTAGTATTTCATTTCCTTTTTCCCTTATACTATTAAGTAATGATATGAAAATAATTAGTATAAAATCAGACACTTATGACAATAGTATAAAGATAATTAGTGTAAAATTAGATAAATACAATAATTAATATAAAAGAGGAATTTCATTCTGTGTTCTGATGTCAAAGCAAGCAAATTGTCATCGGAATATATGCTACATCTGAGAAAATACTGTGAAATTTTTATACGAGGCACATTGAATGATCGCGGCGCGCTCTGTATCGATCGAGCGAGGAATTCTGCTCCTTTTGTTCGATCATACGAGCAAATTTTCGTAACTGGATGTAGGTCAGATGGAATCGATTTAGCTTCTGGACGAAGAGCTAATATTCATAGCCGCCGTTCGCCATTGTTCGCGATAGACGTAATGAAAAATCGTGATTTTTCTGGATACAATCGCTCTCTTGGTACTTGAACGCAGCACATCGGCCGGAATGAATGGGAAGAAAAAAAAAGAAATCGAACAAGCTCGCTCTAACAACGCGTTTTTACCATGTATCACGTACTGTTCCACCCAACCGTATATTCGCGTATTCGCGCACCGTGACACTTGTTTCACCACGAGCAACGATCGGTGGATTAATCTTCTCGATGGAGCAATAATTGGCCGCAAACTGTCTATCATGTTTACGCGCGCATAAGTTTGTCATTCCCGCAATCCGTAGCGTTACTTCACGCGAGTCCGTGCGTGTTATTGAAATTCGTCGTAAAAATGTAAAACGGATGTGACACCCGATAAAGAAAAAAGATATACGTTGCCGCTAATACGCGAAGCTTGGCGAGCGAAAGCTTATCGAGCGAAGTACTCTAATCGATCTCTGAATGCGAAAGAACTAACTAAAGGGCTAACGGAGAGAGAGAGAGAGAGAGAGAGAGAGAGAGAGGGAGAGAGGGAGAGAGAGGAGAGAGAAGAGAGAGAGGAGAGAGAGAGAGAAAGAGAGAGGGAGAGAGAGGAGAGGAGAGAGAGAGAGAGAGAAAGAAGAGAGAGAGAGAGAGAAGAGAGAGAGAGAGAGAGAGATTCTTTTTTTTTTTTTTCTTTTTTTTTTTTATCGAAGATATTGAAGAGAGATCTCGGCAAGTCGGAAGGATAATGCTTGAAAGACAACACGAAATAAATCAAATGTACAATGTGTTGTTAAAAAAAAAAAAAATTAAAAAAGAATGTAAATGTCGAAGGACGAAGGTGCTGGTCTAGAACGGCGAGTAAAAAAATAAAAATACGAAATATCAAAGATAGGCGATGGTAGAGTACCAGAGAGAGAGAGAGAGAGAGAGAGAGAGAGAGAGAGAGAGAGAGAGAGAGAGAGAGAGAGGGACAATTCGAAGAGAATGTGAGGAGACGCACGAGAAGGATGCAGACGAGAAGAACAAAGCTGGAAAAGATATATGGTCCTACCGGCGGCGCGGTATAGCCACCATCTTGCTCATTCTGTCGCGTGTTATTTGTTTCACTTTACCGTATTTCATAGCGGCCGAGCTCGAGGATGAGTCGTTTGCGAGTCTGGCTGAGTTTTATGTAATTCCAGTGGAATGATATCGCTTTTACGCGGCGGCACAAATTTACTTAAAATTTGGGACAGAGCCCGCATTAAGTGCGGCCAAACCGCATTGTGGTCAGACCGCACAAGCAGCAGGAATGGTAACGTTTCGTCGCCGTCACGTATTGCGGTTGGAAAGCATTAACAAAGAGTGACACGGAACGTTTTCGATAGTGTCGGTATGTGACTAGTTAAAATAAAGGATCATGTTTATGACTCAATTCCTTTTTCTTTCTTCAAAAAAAGATGAATTTATTACAATATTGTAATATGAATGTAATGAATGAATTTATTACAATATTTGGCACAATTGGACTAATCAAGATTATCCAAAGTTACGAGCGAATATTTTTTTCTCAACTGTATTGTCGGTACTTAACCGCTTTTTCCACGGAGTCCCTCTTTGCATATATATACATAAAACTCGTATCTTCTTGTACGCGCTTTCCCCTTTGCCTTTGTGCATTAACTTTGAGACTCAGCAACGCCTACTTTGCGTAACTTATGAATAGTGTGAAATAGCGTAAGCAGTTGGTTTCATCTTATATTCTTCACTCATCGGTGTTGGTAAGGATGGGATACCTCTCTCGTTGCATAACACACACACACACACACAGACAGAGGGAGGGAGGGAGGGAGGGAGGGAGGGAGGGAGGGAGGGAGGGAGAGAGAGAGAGAGAGAGAGAGTGAGAGAGAGAGGTGGGAGAGGGAGGAGGAAGGAGAGTTTTTACAACAAGGTTCTCGCCTTGAGATATATCGTATGATTTTCTACTGAATCCCAAATTCAATTAGTATTCGAAAGTTGCAAATTTCGTCAAGACCGCTTCAGTTGTGCTAGTTATAAATTTATCCCGCAGAAACATATTTCACTTCATTACACCGCTTTACACTCATAAACGAGTGTTTCCCCCTCCCCCCCCTCTCTCTCTCTCTCTCTCTCTCTTTCTCTTATTTGCTGCGAGAGTCAAATCACGTGTAAATGCGTATCGAGGGAACGCTTGATATTTCAAATCGCGCGCATGTAAAACACACACTCAGGAGAAAATTTGCGCGCGGCAAAAACAGCCGCGGATAGAACACGTCTGTGAAGTTAGCCTCCCATTTTGAAAATTTGAAAAAAATGAGCATAGTTCTGATTGCCCCCCCCCCCCAAAGAGTTCTAGAGTTCTCTATCAATAAAAAAAAAAGTTCCGTTGATTAAAGTGGTCAAAACACGAAATAAAGTTATGGGGAGGGGGGGGGGCCAACTTTACGATTGCGTAAATTTAAAAGGTCATAACTTTTTTACCTTAAACTTTAGCGCTTTGATGCTTAAGGAAAATCGATACAACTTTTACGGGGGCTACCAGAACTCTTAACGGAATGCCGAAATTGTGAACAAGAAATTGTTCACCTCTGAGAGACTTGGAACATTTAGCACTTCGAAATGACTGCAACTTTTTTATCTTCGATCGCAGCTCAACAATTCTTAACAATAATCGAAAGAACTTTTCGGCGGGCAACCAGAACTTTAAAGAAACTGACCAATTTTCGAAAAGAAAATTTTCTCTTAATTGTACTTGGAAAATTCGGCATCTGCGATACTTTGATGAGCTAGAACTCTTTCATTTTTGCTCGAATCGATTCAAGTCACAAGGAAAACCGATATAATTCTTCGGGGGGCTACCAGAACTCTAAAGAAATGAACCGTATTTCGAAAACAAATTTTCTCCTTAAGTACAATTAAAAGAAATTTTCTTTTCGAAAATTGGTCAGTTTCTTTAAAGTTCTGGTTATAAATTATAAATTCAAATTTCCCCGATGTTTCCTAACGGATATTATTAGACACGCTTCCATCGATCGTACGAGAGATATTTTCATCAAATCCTGCCGAAACATTGTCGTGTTTGACAAGTCGCACGTGTGGTGTGGAAACGAATGTGTGATCCTTTTCGATCGATTCAATTTCCACTAACGATACTTCTCCGGACAATACAACGTGCATCAATTGATTAGATTATCCATCTAATAGACATACTATATGTAATGCAGATCCGATGCATTAATTGTTATTATTATTTCCACCAGTTCGTACCAGTAACGTCAATTCCGGGCATTCTGGTATCTCAGTCACTACACGGGGATATCCATTTATTCATTGATTTGTTCTTATATTTATATTGTTTTTATTCTTATATTTATATTGTTTTTATATCTTTTTATGCGCCAGTTTATGCGCAAAAGTATCAAGGTAAAGTCGACAAACAAGTAGATACTTTACGAAATTTTTAGTCTTGGTGGTAAAATCAGGGTGTGATAAAATAAGATACGACGAAAGTACTCAACTTTCGGTGGCCTTAACGAAATATTTTTATACGTGGATCGACAAGGGGAATATATATTTATACAAAGAAAACATGATTCTATATTAAAATCTGTTTTTATTCCGGCTACCCGAGCAACTCCGATGAACATTCCGTGAGTTTGGCATACGGAAATGTCCGATTTATACTTACGGGGCGTTAGTTTTCACGCGAGTTCCATCCAACGAGTTCGCTTTATGTATCCGTTGGCACGTATCTACATCAACGTTACATCACAATGACGTCATGCGGCGTTTATTCCGCCCCCGTCGATCTGCACCGTCTAATTTCGTTCACTTGTGAAACAGCGTCACGTGTAAAACGCATTATTTCTGAAGTCGAGCGCGAGCGAGCCTAAATCCTAAATCGAGCGCGCAATATCCTAAATGGAGCGATATCATCATCCCAGCGTTCTTTCTTTATGTTACAGCGACTGCAACGAGATTGAGGCACTCGAGACACCTGGACGTGAGATCGCAGTTCCCGGACGAGGAGAAATTACCGGTGAGTGCTTCTCGATTCGTTCTTGATTCGATTTCTCATCCTCTCCCTAGCTCTGTGCCCCGCGCCCCGCGCCCCGCGCCATCCGCGGGTCCATTGCCACCCCAACACCGCCGTGTTCTACTTACGTTCCCTTCCTTCTGTCTCAGTCATCAAACCTGATTTCTTTTACCACTCCGAGTCTACGAGGATCCTCGAATGATCCTCATATAAAACACCTTTCCAGCACATGGATAATGGATTTGTCTCTTCCCTCATCCTCTTACGCTCGCTGATCTGTGCGAACGGCTATTAAATATTTACCGCGCGCGTTAGTCGCAATCGGTCTTTACGTGACATCCGTGAGCGAGTCTGAATTTGTCGCCACTCGTTACGAAGTTGGAGGCGCGTCTCTTATGGCGCGTCGTTAGCGGCATTAGCGGCGAACCGAAAATATCGTCACGTACCTTACCTTACCCTCGTCCTTACTCCGCCATCTCGCGGTCTTTTCGAACCGAATCTTCAGCTCCCGATTGCGTGGTGCTGTCTCGCGCTCGTCTTATTACACAATTGCAACTACACATCCCAGGATTATTATTATCTCCGCGTGTGTCACTTCTTACCGTAAAAGACGCAAGACAAATATAGATAATAGACTTCAGTGAACTATCCCCTTGCGGCCTTCTCTTCTTTTGTTTCTTCCGTAGTTACCAATCTGACTTTCGTTTAGCTAGCGAACATCTTGCACGGCGTGGCAAGATCTCAATTACCGTAATTTCGCCGAGATTTGACCGCGAATATAAGCGAACTTTAACGATACCCAAGTGCGCGTATTTTTTGCTCTTTTCGCCCCTTCGTTTGCTTATTTATTTCTTTTGTGCACGTTAAAACATATCCCGACATTCGCGGCGACCGCGGCGCGGTGGCGGTAACGAAACCATCTTACGAGCTCGTACGTAACGACGTGTTCACGCGGCGCGCTCGTGGCGACCGTCGCGCATAAATAATTCGTCTCGTAAACGAGCTCTCGAAATCACTCGTGATTCGATTGAATAGCGCCTGTGCTCGCGTACAACTCGCGCTCCGTACCGTCCTCAATGTGAGAACGGCGAGAAGTGTTTCGTCGGTGGCTCCGGAGACTCGCTCGCTTACGAGAATCATTGACGTTACACGTCGCGTCGCGTCGCGAGTTCGCTCGCGGAAGCGGAGTGTGGTGTATTTGGGAACGCGCGCGAATTGGGCGTACGAGACGGGGATGGCGGGAATGTGTGTATGCGCATTTAGGCGCAGAGGCGATTCCATACGTCGCGGCGTTCGTCAGACGAGCAAGTTCGGCAAGTGACGTTCGCGCAAACTCGCAAAGACTTGGAGCATTTGCCGCATTTTGTCAAGATCTATAATCGAGAGAGCGGCAAAGTTATTTGGGGGGGTCTAAGGTGCGCGCGCGCGCACGTGCAGGTGCTCAGACGGATGGACGGAGATTCAGATTCCCTCCCAGGTGTAGCGATCGAGCGACTTCGATCGTGGTGGTGGTGTTGGTCGTTTGTAATATTTTCAATGTTTCAGCGATTTCTCAATCATCCGTCGATCATTATAGCCGCGACACACGCGACAAGTGATAAGACACATTCATTAATTGAATGTTGAATCGCCCGATACAGTATATATACTGTAAGTGAAGGACCGCTGAAGGACTGCGAATTTTTCACGAGGAAAAATTTTGTGCGCTGAAAGTGGCATAATCGGCGGAGATACGCAAATATACGAGTCGCGCGCGCAATTTATTATATCTGTATCAATATAGTGCAGTGTCAGTACGCGCGACGTGCGACAAATGCGTCGCGCGTATTTACACATATAATTGTGTACCACATATAGCGAATGAAACTCGCGCTATACATTTCTTTCGTCGAATTAAGCGCGTGATAAAATTTATTTTAGCTTACCGTTACCAAACACCTCGTTATTTATTTACATACGCTCCCAATTGGCCTCGCCTTTAGATTCTTTAATTTTCGATATAAAATACCTTACTAACTCACTCCATCGATGAAATTCTTGCGAGTGAGGTAAAAAAATCAACCGCGGACTACTTGAGAAATAATGAGAGTTCTGCTGGCAGTGTACACTCTTCTCTCGCGATCGTATAATGAAACACAGCTCCTTTGTAAACGTTGCATTAATGGAGTAACGTTTAATGTCCGGAAACCTCCTACGAGGAGGTTTCGAATTTTATCGTTCTCTTTGAGAGATTGTGAATTAGCGGACGATGGTAGGCGCGATGAGGCTCGTTAGTCTCTCTCTCTCTCTCTCTCCATCTCTCTCTCTCTCCATCTCTCTCTCTCTCTCTCTCTCTCTCTCTCTCTCTCTCTCTCTCTCTCTCTCTCTCTCTCTCTCTCTCTCTCTCTCTCTCTCTCCTCTCTCGTCTCTCTCTCCTCTCCTCCCCTCCCCTCTCCCCTCCCCTCCCTCTCTCCTCCCCTCTCCTCTCTCCCTCTCTCTCTCTCCTCACTCCTCTCTCTCTCTCTCTCTCTCTCTCTCTCTCTCTCTCTCTCTCTCTCTCTCTCTCTCTCTCTCCTCTCTCTCTCTCTCTCTCTCTCTTGCTCGCTCTCGCGCGCGCTCCTTTTAATTGTTCCGCAAAGAAGACGTCGTCGGGTGGTTCCGAATTACGAGAGCTTTTACGTTTTTAATATTAATTAACGGTCGAGCGCGCGTCTTATAATCGCTGTTTGTGCGTGCGCGCGTGTACGTGTACTCTTGCAATGTCTCAAACGCCGAGGTACGAGAAGCGCTCTTAGAGAGCGGGCTCGTTTGCTCGGATACCACGTGTAAAGATGTCGGTTTCTTTGCTCGATTTACGACACCGTTGCAAATTCGCAACGTACTGGGTACCTCATATCTCAATGTATACCATCTACAGTTAAATCTACGTTAAACAGGATTCTCGCGATAATTAATGCAATCGTGCAATGCCTCGTTATTTCTCTCACCGAAGGTAACGATTTAGCGACATGGAACTCGCGATAACCCGCTCTTTCTCTTCCCCATCCTTATTTTCCATCAATGTTTTCTTTTCTTTTCTTTTCTGTTCTTCGCTCCTTTCTCTCCCTCTCTACTCGTTATTGCGATCGTGCTCTGCAACGACGGTAGCAATTACGAATTCCAATTGACGGGATCTTCTTAAAGCCATTACGAATGAACTGCGGATAGCGTAACGGGGTTATAATATGCTAAAACGCGGTTAACTTGTTTATCGTTAATGAGGCTGGAAAGTACGAGAGCGCGAGTGCTACATCGAGGCAGCGCATGACCCGGCAAAGTGCTGCGCGAAATTCTGAGCGATCTTGCTGCTGGATGCTGGAGGTGTACCTCTCCCCCTCCCCCTCCCTCCCCCCCCCCCGCCGTGTGAGTAAACAGAGCGAACGAACGAGCGAGCGTGCACACGCGGATTATATTTCTTACCGAATGTTGTTTACCTGGGGATATCATTATCTTCCGCCTCTCTCTCTCTCTCTCTCTCTCTCTCCTCCCCCAGTGGGACAGAAAATAGTAATGAATATTAATGTGTCGAGAGCATTTAATTGCATTGAAGATAACAGTCCAACTATGAGCGCGTCTAGAGAGATCCGGTGCGCGCGCGTTTGTTTGTGTTAATTATAATTATCGCCGAATTGATTGGCGTTTGTGTTATGGCGGTATTTTCATCGCGGGCATTCAGTCAGAAACACGAATCTCGCGCGTCGCGCTTACACAACTTCTTCGGTCCGGTTCTTTCCGTCCGGATCGAATCTTCGCGCCGGGAAGTTTCGTGTGTGTCAGTCGTCGTACGGATGTATCTGTGATCATCTTTTACCACGTGAACACGAGAGTTAAACTCGCGACTCGATCGTTTGTACGTTGTACGTGTTACATGCTAAACGCGCCACCTGGATCAATGCTAATCGCGACGAAACGGTAATACAGCGGAACATACGAGCGCGGTTGGTGCTATTATTTATGAGAGTATGAGAGTATCTTACCAAGGACGCCAACAGACCGCGCAACGTTGTGCAAAACCGCGGAACTTGGCTAACCTTGTCACCTGATGTTCTACATCACCAATGTGCAGGATTATTACAGCGAGCACCCAGTCGTAATAGATACAGCAGCGCGTCGCCGCCTTTTTTCCTCTCTCTCTCTCTCTCTCTCCTCTCCCCCATCCTTTTCTTTTATATCTCCGATCATTCTTCTCCCACGAGTCGATGGATTTTTCATGGGAAAATGCGAAGTAACAGACTGCCAGAGTCCAGAATCGTGATTAATGCCGCTTGGTTTATGAGGCGTGCTTTGATCATTCATCTTTGCGTGTCTTGCTCTAAACTCTTGACTACGCTTGCGAGTGCGTGAGCGGCGGGGTGCCAAGGGTTACCGATTAATCCCCAAGACATCTTTCGCTTGTTCTCCGAGTAACATCCGCGCTAATAATTGACTGTTTCTCTTACGCTTTCAGTTCTATGAGAATAACAGCCACAAGCCAGTGTTTGTCGATTGTAAGAATTATGCGCCGTCGGTAGACGAGGATGTACCGCGCAACACATATGTATTTCAAGTGCACGCCGAGGACAAGGATCCGCCGGAGAATGGAGGTATCGTAACGTCTATCCATACAGAGTGTCCGGTAATTAACTGCCAACCCGAAGTGTGAAGGTAGATTGAGTTGGAAGCTGGAAAAAAAAGTAAAGTACAATTTTGCAAGAATCGCAATAATTATCGCGCTATTAATGACAGAAATCTGACGAGTGAGCGCGCGCCAAGATGATTGATGGATGATTGATGGAGGAGCGTCGCGCAGCACCTCTCTCTCTCTCTCTCTCTCTCCCCCTCTCCCTCCCTCTCTCTCTCTCCCCCCTCTCTCCCCCCCTATCTCTCTCTCTCTCTGGGGCCATAGTGTCCCCAGTTCAGTCGATCTAGCAACAATTTAGACGTAGAGATGCGGCGACGATAAAACACGAATAGCGGCGCGTTGTCCTTCCCCTTCTCGCCGCGCATCAGCAATAGTCGCTGAACATCGACTGGGCCGCGCTCAGTGGTGGCCCGAGCAGCTACGTACAACGCTTCTCCAATCATCTGTGTTGGCGCGTGCCCACTCCTCAGAGGTCGTCTGTCATTAATAACTCGATAATTATTGCGATTCTTGCAAAATTGAACTTACTTACTTTTCTTTTCAGCTTAACTCAATCTACCTTCACACTTCGGATTGATAGCTAATTACCGGACATCCTGTATACAATCATTCATTGTCGCTGTACATACGTAGTAGTATGCATGAGGTAAAAAGGAAGAAAACGCGCGCAGAATGTACACAGGATGCAAATTGTAGTATGTTCCTTTATGTTCCTCAAGACTTTTGTGACTTGTGTGGCATTCGCAGGGGTAAACGTAGTGGAATCTAGATTCTTTTGTCTCCGCTACTTTTTCGAAGAGTCGCCCCGAGCGGAGAAACAAAATTTCATGATATCGATAACGAGATTGGAAATGTGGAGGAAATCGAAAATAGACGCACCGGTCAAACGGGGATATCCTATTATCGATCGATGAGACATTGGTGTCTATTTTCGTCGCGAGCGACGAAACGTGCAAAGCAACGAAGATAAAATGTGGTTTTTATTACATGGTTTATTTTTCTGACTTTTCGCAGGTACCGTCACGTACAAATTCATATCCGACCGCAGCGAGAGGCTAAAATTTGAGATCAATAATATGACTGGCGTGATCACGACGAGCGTAATGTTCATAGACAGGGATGAACCCTTCAAAGAGAAAGAATTCTACCTCACAGTACACGCGAGCGACAACGGAAGGCCGCAGCTCGACGACCTGTGCACATTTAAAGTCACCGTCAACGACATCAATGACAACGAGCCCGTTTTCGATAAAGTGGTACGTAGTTCAAATGAATCAAGCTTCAATACTTGGCCTCTTATTAATACGTTGTACGGATCGATCGATTGATCGCGATCCCGCGCTACAAAAGTCGCCGCGCTACAAAAAGAAGCCGAGTGCACACGCACCACCGCGTACATACGCGCATCCTACATTATATACACGTAGCAATTACATACGGATATTAGAGTCGATTTGTACCGGAAAAAGATGGAAAGAGATGAAAATCAAACGGACTTTTGCACAGTCTCTCTCTCTCTCTCTCTCTCTCTCTCTCTCTCTCTCTCTCTCTCTCTCTCTCTCTCTCTCTCTCTCTCTCTCTCTCTCTCTCTCTCACTCTCTCTCTCTCTCTCTCTCTCTCTCTCTCTCTCTCTCTCTCTCTCTCTCTCTTCCTTCGATGTCAACAGAAGAAAATGCCGAGAAATATTTCTCTCATTTTTTGTTTGTTGTATATAATAAATACGTTAAAATTAAGATAATTCCGAACGAGAGAAACGATTTACGCGTGCACCATGTATAAAAAGTCGCGCGATGAAACGTTCTTTCGAAAAATGCTACTTGTTTGCGGAAATGGATAGAGTCAATGGATTTGAAACTGGAGAGTGTGTCGATATGCGTTCCCCGTTCCATTCTGCATATTTTGCGTGTGTAAATTCGTCGATTTCATGAATGAGTAAAACCCCGCGCAGGTCGTGGAATTACGGCTCGCGATCCCCGTATATTTTTATTATCGTGTGTGAACTTCTTCTCTTCTTTTCTCTTCCCCCCCCCCCCGTATACTAACCATATACCGGCGTTATACCGCCACTATCGACCTATCCGCTACTAACCGCTACTAACAAGTTCTGCTTCAATTTCTCTCTGTTTGTTTCACTCCAATCCCAGGTCTTCCGTGGACACATGTGGAAGGTTGGTCTCGTATTTGCGGTGTGTGAATGTTGCTCGATGTGAAATGAGAAGAGTACAACAAGTGTCTCACGCGTTATTTTGTCGTCGTGTGTTTTTCTTCTTTCTTTTTACAAGCAGTTTGCGCACCTTGCGAGAGATGAACCGTCATTTGATTTTCACATGCCGAATGAGATTCCTTGTATGCGCTTGAGAAGATACCCTCGTATTCCATCGCGAGACTCCTCAAATCGACTGAGGAAAGATCCTCTCATCCACAACAACACAAAAGATAGAAAAGGAGGCTCTCGTCGTCTCGATCGATAATAACCGCCTCGTGTTCCAGTATGACGAACCCTCATATCTCCCCCTCCGTGTCAAATGGCAACATTATCATGCATGTACGTGATATTTTAGGAATGACAAGGCACTATGCGAGCACGATTCATTCGGAAATTGCATGAAACGCATCACGCTAAGTGCATTTTGAAGATCACGCGGCGGTAGATCTACGCTAATCCCGCTAATCCCCCTGTTCAATGTATCTGTATTTCGGCTTTGTTACACGTATACACAGGCGTACACGGAATCCGTGCCGCGAGATTTACCCGTCGGTCGCGAAGTCATGAGAGTCTCCGCCACCGACTTCGATGACGGCGAGAATGGCACCGTGCGTTACAATCTGTCGGCTAAGCTGGCGGACGATGAGGCGTACTTTCGGATCGACAGCGAGACCGGTATCATCTACCTCAAGAAAGCTATAGACGTAAGTAACGTGCGCGCAGTAAGGGTGTGATTTTAAGGGCAGGAAGCGGCAGTACTACTTGACTCTCTCGCGAGTTCTTCTCCCTCGTTGTTGTCTCACAGCGGTGAGTGAGTTAACTCGCTCGTGAAATTAAAGTCCGCGAAAGAAACGCTTAGTTTCCGATTCATTTGAGCGGCGATAGCCGCGCGATAGTTGCGCGAGTTACGTACAAGAATCGTTCGTATCGGCAAGCTCCGTCGACAAACTTCGGCGAAATACGTATGCGCGCGTGCACCTATGCGGATTATACACGCTTCGTCGGCGTTAAGGCCATCACGCACAAACGAACTTAAGCAGTAAGACGTAAGCAGTAAGCAAATCGACCAAAATCGCAATCGAAATTTAAGGACGCCATTTTAAAACTTACGAGAATAATTGATTGTGATGGGTCGCGAGTTTCTTTACTGCTTACGTTGATTTGTGTGTGACGGCCTTTATCGTCGTCGAGTTGTCGAGTTGAAGGGTAAACCTGTTCACTTATTTTCAACGTATATAAATGTACGAATATAAAAGTGGTATTGCCGTAGCAACATGTACACGCATACGCACACGTACGCGTCGTTGTTGTGTCGCAACAACGAACGCTTATCGATCCGTTTCTTCGAGCGCGCGCGAGCTCGTGTCTCCATCAACGTCTTCACTCAACGGCGGAATACACACAAACACAACTCACATTACCAACGTTTTTATCTTTGCGCAGCACGACCCAGGTTATAGATTCAATATGATAGCCAGAGCCACAGATCTCGGCAAGCCTCCAAAGTCTAGCGCCATTGATCTCGACATACGGGTGGTAGAGTCGCACAAGAAGGCGCCAGCTTTTCTACCCAGGTCAATGGCGCCGATCAAGCTAATGGAGAACTTTACGGACTTTGATGCCGTCATAGTCCGTCTGAAAGCAGTCTCGAATGTCAATGACTCGAATGAGCTGCGTTTCGAACTGGTCAGCGGCAGGACGGAGCAGACCAACAAGAGGAGCACCTTTAGGTATACCTATCGATTTGCTTGTGTGCGCGCGCGCGCTACCTTTTCTTTTCACCGTGTGTGTGCGCGCCGCGTGTGTATAAACATGTACTTATATAAATGAATGTTTCGCTCGACACCCACTTCAGATTAGAATCGAACAAGGACGTGGCGGACATCAAGCTGTCCGAGTCTCTTGATTATGAAAAGAACACTCAATACACGTTGATAGTACGAGTGAAGAATACAAATGGATTGGCCGCCGAAACGTTGGTCGAAATCGAGGTTCTCGATGTAAATGACAGAATTCCAGTCTTTCGCGAGATTACGGGAGGCAGCGTGTTAGAAAATGAGCCGCCAGGAGTGCCGGTGATGCAGATACAGGCCATCGATGATGATGGGACGGCTCCCCACAACCAGGTATATTATTATAAAATTGTAGTACGATTGTAGGAAGAGCATCTCGTCGTCGTTGATCAATGCGTTGGTAACTCGTCTCGTAATCCCTTTGTCTTGTTCGTTTGAAAGGTCCATTACGAGTTGGCCTCCTTCAATAAGCAGTTCACCATTCACAGCCAAACTGGCATGATCACGACACTGGTGACATTCGACAGAGAAGTACGAGATCATTATGACGTGAAGGTAATAGCGAAGGACAATTCGCCGAGTGCTCTGTTCAAAACCGGCGAGCCCAACAGGGCGGAGCTTATGTTCCGGATAGATATCGCCGATAAGAATGACAATCCACCTCGCTTCACCGAGAAAGTGTACACTCACAATGCGGTTTACGAGAACGCCAATATTAATGGCTACGTAACCAATGTCCAGGCTGTCGATCCCGACACAGCGAGTCTCGTCACGTATAGCATCATAGCGGGAAATACCAATGGTAGCTTTTCCATTCACAGTACGACGGGGAATATATACGTGAATAAGACGTTGGATTACGAGCAGATTACCAAGTACAATTTGACCGTGAGAGCGTTCGACGGTGTGTTCAACGATACGGCGCAGGTGGAGATTTTTGTAGAGAACGTGAACGACAACCCGCCGGTCTTCGAGCACTTTGACATAAATCCGACGATAGAGGAGGAGAAATTGGTGCCTGGTAAGAGATCATCTTGATGTGGAACGATACACGAGACGAAGAAAGACTGCGCGCGCTAACTCACTCACTCACTTGTTGTCTGTTTTTTTCTTTTAAAGGATGTATCACCACCGTGGTCGCTTACGATCCAGACATCGTAGACAGGACAGCCGACCAGCATATCGTGTACTCTATCGATGAGAATAAGGAATCTCTCATCGGGATCGACAAAAGTGGCTGCATGAAGCTGAAGAAGCCGCTGGACCGTGATCCGCCGAATGGCTATTCGATATGGAATGTAAGTTTTTCTTTTTTTTTTTTTTTTTTTTTTTTTTTTTTTTGAGATAAGACTCGTCTCTCCCCGCTAGCGCCTCGTTTCTAGCGTACTCTCTCGTTTCTTTTTCCCTCTTGGTTCGCTACCCTTCTGACCTTCCGCCGTTTCCTACACAGGTCATCGTAATAGCGAAAGACGAAGACGGCTCGACTACGGCGCTACGCAACTCTATAATCGTAAACATCACTCTGCTTGATATAAACGATAACGCACCATTCCTCGATATGCCTTATCCGGTGATTTGGGACGAGAATAAGGAACCCGCCAAGATAACCGAGCTCAAAGCACGCGATTACGATTCCCAGGAGAATGGTCCACCATTCGAGTTTCGGATCGACGATAGCGCGGACGACGAGGTCAAAGCCAAGTTCAGCATTCACAAATCTGCTTTGCACGCGCTACAAATCTTCGATCGGGAGCAGCGGAAGAGCTACGATATACCGATCGCGATTACGGACAACGGTACGCCATCTATGACAGGCACCTCGACGCTCACTGTCATCATAGGCGACGTAAATGACAATGACATGGCGGAGGGCTCGAGTTCGATATTCGTTTACAACTACAAGGGGGAGGCCCCTGACACAGAAATCGGGCGCGTTTATGTCAACGACCCGGACGACTGGGATCTGCCGGATAAATCCTTCGAGTGGGCCTCCTCCTCTTCCCATGACGGGTTCCTGCTGAACAGCAGCACCGGCATGATCACTTTGTTGTCAGGCACGTCGAATGACACTTTCGTACTCAAGTTCATGGTCACCGAGAAGAAGGAGTTCGGGAAAAAGTTGATTCAAGTAAACGCGTACGTAAACGTCACCGTCAAGGAACTGCCGGAGGAGGCCGTGGAGAGGTCCGGTTCGGTGCGATTTTACGGAATAAACGCGGAGAAATTCGTCGAGCCCGACGAATCCGGCGTAAGCAGGAAGGAGATATTCCAGGAAAAGGTGGCGTCTATGCTGAACGTCTCGGTCGAGAACGTGGACGTGTTCACTGTGCTCCATTCGCCTCATTACAACAACAGAAGTCTGCTCGATGTTCGTTTCTCGGCGCACGGCAGTCCATATTACGCTCCCGAGAAGCTAAACACGATTCTCGCGCAGCGGTCGAAGGAGATTGAACGCGAGATGAGAGCGGATATCTTGCTGGTGAACATTGACGAGTGCCTGTTTGAGAAGGTGCATTGCAATAATTCGTGTCGCAGTTACTTGAACGCCAGCACCGTGCCGTATTCCGTCTACACCAACACCAGCTCGTTCGTTGGCGTCAGAGCGGTCGTGGATCCGCAATGCACTTGCCATGTGGCAGAACCGATCGTCTGTCTGAACGGCGGCACTCCGCTAGCGGAACGATGCGAATGTCCGCCTGGTCTGGAAGGACGGAGGTGCGAACTATTGAGCATCGGCTTCTACGGGGACGGTTGGGCCATTATGCCGCCGCCTGGCCAAGCCTGCGAGGAGTCGCATCTCGGTGAGAGTGACGATAGATCGCCGTATCTCTTCCGTTATCTCTCTCTCTCTCTCTCTCTCTCTCTCTCTCTCTCTCTCTCTCTCTCTCTCTCTCTCTCTCTCTCTCTCTTCCCCCCTCTCCCTCTCTCTCTCTCTCACCCTCTCACCCTCTCTCTCTCTCTCTCTCTCTCTCTCTCTCTCTCTCTCTCTCTCTCTCTCTCTCTCTCTCTCTCTCTCTCTCTCTCTCTCTCTCTTCCCCCCTCTTCCTCTCTCTCCTCTTCTGCTTTCTGTCTCTATGTATACATAAGACATGACTGTTGCAGGATTGGAGATAACACCGCATGTCGACAACAGTCTCGTATTCTACTTCGGTCCCATAACTTACAGTCCGAAACTTGGAATTCAGGATTTCATGGCTCTGGAGTTGCAGCAAGGATACGCCGTGTTGTACATTGACTATGGCACAGGAACAGCGCGGCTAGAGCAGAAACAAATCAAATTAACGGACGGCAAGAGTCACAGAATAGATGTTTTATGGACGAAAACGGTGAGGATGATCTCTCTCTTATCCGCTCTGCTGCTCGTGTGAAAATCATTACACATTTATGTTTCTCTCCGTTTCATCAGTCAATAGAGTTAAAAGTGGATAATTGCGCTATATCTGCCTGCCTGAGTCTCACCGCGCCGCAAGGAACCAACGAGTTTCTCAATGTCAACGGCCCGATGCAAGTCGGTGGCACGTTGAGTAATTTAGCGTACTTGGCGACGAAATTGGGATGGGATCATAAACCTACCGAGAAAGGATTCGTTGGTTGTATACGCAACATGTCAATCAACGGAAATGTAAGCAATGAAAAAATATTAGAGTAACAGGTGAACAATTGAACGATAGCAAGTAAATAAATAGTAGTACAAGGTGATGAGTGGTGAATTCAGTAGGTGGTAAAACATTGAAATCATGTTCGCTGATCGTAACGTTTCCCGTTTCAGACTTATAATTTAGGTATGCCGTCGTTATCGAAAAATGCAGATCCTGGCTGTAATCACGGTATGGCGAAGGCTGTATCGTTCGGCATCGATACGAATTTTCTAGTCGCTATATTAGTCTGCGTAGCGATATTGTTGATCCTACTGTTGGCGGTAGTCGTCCAGAGGAGAAAGACGGACGACTTATATAAGGATATGGATGATATCAGAGAAAACATTATCAATTATGAGGATGAAGGTGGCGGTGAGGTTGATACGGGGTACGACTTGAACGTGCTGCGAGCCATTTACGACGCGCCGCCTATCGATTCTAAGATAGCTCCGGTTGGTCTGCAGGGTAGAGGTGAGACAAATGAGAGAGAAAGAGAGAGAGAGAGAGAGAGAGAGAGATACATTAAAGTTAGAGCGCTAGTGTTTCATACTGATTTCATAGTCGCACAGCATTTAAACGAGCAATATTGTTTGTGAAGGAACCGACGAAGTTCCCGACATATGCGGCTTCTTAGATGGCAAGAAGGAAAGCTGCGATAAGGATCCGGATACTAATCCCTTTGACGATGTAAGACATTACGCTTACGAAGGGGAGGGCAACTCGGAAGGCGACTTATCGTCGTTAGCTTCCTGTTAGTACTTTTAGATAGTGAAAGATACATTGAATTGATGCGTCGCGTGTCTCCGTTACTTCTTAACTGACCTCGCATTTGTCTCCGCAGGTACTGACGATGGAGATCTCAAGTTCAATTATCTATCTAATTTTGGACCAAGATTCAGAAAATTGGCAGATATGTACGGAGAAGATCCTAGTGACGAGGATAGTGACGGTGTTGGCGAACGGGAGAGCGAAAGCTGGTGTTGAGCTTTCCCTCATCGTTATTTCATTGCCAGAAGATGCACGCAGTTCGCACGAAAACAGGCATAGGCCAGCGTCAAATATCTGCGGCACGTACTTGTAGTTATGTGAATCGCATGAACTAAGCGAAACTCGTGAACTGTGTGCATCTATGTACGCATGCGTGAATGTGTGAGTGAGTGAGTGAGTGAGTGTATGTGTGTGTGTGTGTGTGTGTGCGTGTGTGTGTGTGCGCGCGTGCGTGCGTGCGTGTGTGTGTGCGTGCGTGCGTGCGTGCGTGCGTGCGTGCGTGCGTGCGTGCGTGCGTGCGTGCGTGCGTGCGTGCGTGCGTGCGTGCGCTCGCGCGCGTATGTGTGTATGTGTGTGTATACACCCTCACACACACATACATACCACGCTCTCGTTGTATTTTGACGAGTTGTTGGACAATCGACGTTTTGCACGATAACAGTTTTTCTTTTTTGTCCCTCCTCTCCTCCCTTTTCTCCCATAAATGACTCAAACATAGTTGTGATTCGAATTTTGCGATTTGAAAAATCACAAATAAACAAGCAATGAGTTGAAAAGTATTAGAAAATGTTGATCTCGATCTAGATGTTATATGACATTAACGGCTTAAAACTTTATCGACTGGTCAGTCGATCGTTTATTGCTGTGTATATATACACTGAGTACTACACAAGACTGCTTGGAAAAGTCTCTGAAAATGATAAGGTTTTTAAGATAAAAGTCATGGACGATTCACATGAATCAGACCTATTTAATACGCATTTTATTATTTTAAGCATTTAATGTCATCGAAAACTTTTTTTCTGTATACATAACAGTGGTATTGCGTTATTCCGCCTTATTAATTGGATATATTGTACGTCGGTAAAATAACAACATCTTTCATTTATTCATTCATCGAAATTGTCGGGATGAAAGAAAGAGAGCTACTATCTTTATTTTGTTAATATTTTTCTTCCCCTTGATATATCGTATGTAATAGCAACGGAATACTATATGACTGACTTTAGAATTTGCTGGCAAAGGAAACTTGAATAACTTTTTAGAGTCGCGTGTTCACAGCTGCCAAGTTCAGGAGACATTTTCTTGCGACTGCTTGTTTGTATAACACATGTACAACACATATACACACACATACAATATATACAATTGTCTTTTTTTTTTTAACAGTAAACATGTACATTCCAATAGCAAGGGAGGCTGCAGTGCAGCAATGCCACTTAACTTAAGCGTCATTGACGAATTGTAATTTAATAAACCGACGGTCTATAAACAGTATAATAATTTGTATTCGATTGTTGATCTGTGTTCTTGAGTTTGGCAATCATCAAGTTACGAGGTTTATGGACTATTTTTTATACATTATATAATTATATAAATATACATATAAAGAGATTATATATATATATATATATATATATATATATATATATATATATAGAGAGAGAGAGAGAGAGAGAGAGAGAGAGAGAGAGAGAGAGAGAGAGAGAGAGAGAAGAAGGGAGAGAAAGTGAATATCATAAAACAAACTAAACAAACAAAATTGAATGATTGTGGATTGTGAAAGGACAACTCTTCTCAATGTAGGAATGTAGAAAAATTAGTACGGGAATAAGGGAATGGAAAAGGAGATAGATAGCATTACACTTCTATTTAATTTATATAGTATTTTAATAATTGCGCGAGTATGTGTGAATAGGAGATGGATAGATAGAGAGAAAGAGAGAGAGAGAGAGAGAGAGAGAGAGAGAGAGAGAGAGAGAGAGAGAGAGAGAGAGAGAGAGAGAAAATAGGTATGTGCGACGTACTACACGAATACACATGCGTATTTGATGTCGTCCATACGTTAACGGACGAACAGATACGTACTGTGCATGCGCATTGTTATAATATTCAATATACGTTTCAAGCGCAAATAAAGATATTGAGTATGTGTGTATGTATGTGTGCGCGCACATAAGCGCGCGTGCACACACACACACACACACACACACACACACACACACACACACATACACACACACACACACACACACACACACACACACACACACACACACACACACACACATATCCTTTATACGTGCATATTTTTTGTGGGAATCGAATTAGGAGTTCTCGTGACAAATTTGTCCGTAATGTTGTTCCGCCAGTAAAGTTCTATCGTAATAAGCAACACATTCGGGACACTCCAGACACTGTGACCGCGAACGGATGATAGAAACAGGACGAAAAACAAACGCATCAAGATCAAGTGCCATAGCGCGCTTCAGACGTTAATTCTTTCTCTGTTAATTTCGTAATAATAACAACAATTAATTAATAATAACAATTCCTAAAGATAATTCTTACTGATATAGGATCAGCGCATATAATCTCGCGATTTGCAAATAATTTCGGGACGACAAACGCGTCATCAATACTTACACTGCAGACGATGCAATCAAATGGCCTCTCGTCGTGGAAGTATTTGCTCGTGTCCCTCGTTGTCCCTAACGACCATTTCATTAAATCATTATTCTCGTTGTAACGTCTCCATGCGGTTCATAAGTATTTGTACATGTGAATGTAAATTCATACACACACCAATGCTCTTATTTTTAAGCTTCTTGTACACTTGCTTTCAATGCGATTTTTTTGATACTTTTCTCGGTATAGTTCGGAATGTCGAAACCGATGATTCAATGTGAGGACTTTTGAGAATTAATCGAAAAGCAAGTCCGCTCATTGGATGGCTGCGTTTGAAATTGTATCGAGAAAAGATATCCAAATTCGTACCGAAGGCAAGTGAACAATAAAATTACAACGACATATGTATTATCTGCAAGTGGTTACGTTGAGGTGTACTACAGATCAATGCGTTCCTCGGTTACTTGGTGCTTCTGGAGAAGCACCTCGCCATGTTTTTATAACTCGTCGACAAAGAATTGACGATTGTTGAGTGTAATGCTTCGATTATCGACTTATTCAGAATATATAGTAATAAGGTGCGATTTTAATATTCCACTGTGAGATATTCCAGACGATTATTCATATTACTATACGCTATTCGTGAGTGATCATCTTATAAATAAATAAATGTAAATGTTCGACTGTATGGGAAACTGTATAAGTAGCCGAGGAATGTTCAGATCATGTTCCTACGCGTAAAGTGTGGAATTCGACCTTTGTATTAAATAGTGACCGTGTTATGAAATGCTTAGGGATAAGATCAAATACGTGTTCCAAGTGGTAAGTAATAAGTAAATATTATCTACAGTTTATTCCTTCTCTCTGAAATCTGTCGTGAATACTTGCAGATGTAACAGCATTTGAAATATAATCAAAATTCTTCGAAGAGTATACGACACATTTTTTATGAATATTTGGAATCATAACAATACAATAGTATAAAAGTATGGGAATATATGAGTACGTGTATTCTCGTATGTATTTATCGATAGTCCATATTGTTTTCTACTGATGTGTATGTATCGATGCTGTTATGTCTGTAAGTAAAAGAATAAAATTCGTATCTTATGCGCAGATTTCCGCAATAATATTCCATATCAATATCATGTTCGGTGTATATTAGATTTTAAATTCGAATATGCAATATTCGTTGTTCACGAGTATATATGGTACTCGGGTGTTGAGTCGAACGAAATTTGTGTGATTACATCGAGCTTGATCTTATCCGTAAGAACGTTATGACATGGTCGTTACAATACATATACCAAAATTAACATTAGCATCAATTTCTCTTTTTTAGTTTGTCGTATCGCATTCGTTTAATCAGTCGATCGGAACAAAACTCAACGTGCCGTGCAGTCTTAGTACATATCATGAAGATCGACGTTCCAGGTACATGATAAGAAAGACAGCTAAGGCGGAAGCCTGTGTGATCTCAAGAATTAAGGAGCGGCGGATGTTCTTCCGTGTGAATGTCTATCTACGATCATCATACTTGGACGCTTGCCATTGAACAACGATTAGAATGAAAAGAAAATGGAGACAGTAACAGAGCTATAATTTAGTTAAATAACGAGAGCCACTACTTCTGTTGGAATTCTTTTCCGCGCGTCGTCGTGCAGACGACACACGTCGCGTATCCTTTTCTTCCTAATCCTTTATGAAGATAGACATTTTTTGGCAAGCGTTGCGGCAAGACTTAGTGTATCGATACAAAGCCTGTATGATAATGTTGGTATGATACGTGCAGGTTATTTTCAGAATTATAAATCAAGATTTAACTGGACGGCAGAAACAAACAAAAATATTTTGTACAGATATAGATCCGTAAAATGACAGTCTTCGAGATATTACGATTACATATATTACATATACATATTGCCGAATATTTTTTTTTATTTAAGGCTTGTTTGTTTTTGCGAATTAGATTACAACTCATCTCTCCCTCCGCCTCAATCAAGTCTTGACTTACAATTTTGAAATATCCTGTACGTAAGAATTACAATGTGTGTAAAATAAGATATAGCTATGTAGGGGTTAATCTCCGTTAGTTGAGCAACAAATGTACAACAGCTAACAATAATATCGCTCGACTTTCCTTTATGATTTCATAAAAATGGAAAATTCTCTTAGATAGAGGAACAAGGATTTTTATAAATTACTACGTGAAAACAATGTTCTTTTGTATTCTTCTTAATTTATACATTATGCGTTAGTAGAAATTCCTCTTGTCCTCTTGTTAACATTAAATTCGTATGATTATCGATTTTGTGACACTTTGTGACATTGTAAGAAAAAAAGTTGACACAATCGTTCCTGGTTCCTCGTCAATTTCATACTATAATCGTTAATTCTCTAGTGGCGATCGCTGCGGAAATGACGAATCGCCACTCGTATTTTCATCGCAGATAGATCATAAAACGATCATAAGAAGCTCGTAAATGCTGTTGATAAATGTTTATTGAACACTGCCTTTAAGTGATAGGTAAAGATCAATTCTTCGACGCATGATCTTAACAATTAAATCTTGACATTATTATACTCTGCATTCGAAGAAAAGAAGAAAAGAAAGAAAAAGAAAACGACAAGAAGAGAACGTATTATAAAAAAACGCAGATATAATTAGATACGAGAATACACACACACACACACACACACACACACACACACACACACGCGCGCGCGCGCGCGCGCGTGCGCGCGTATAAATATATGCGTGCGCGTATATACACACAGGCTTGTACATTATCTAGTAAAGTAAGACTTGTTGCGTACCATCTAATATGTGATAATCGACGGCAACGCATATGAGCGCACCATTATCCTTTACCTTCGATCCACCCTTAGCTCGGTAACGTTAAGTGTATTTTCTTTTTTTGTAGCAATAAAGTGAAATTCGAATATACACGCTACACTCCCTAGCTGTCTTTGTCGCTTCGGTCGCGCGCTACAGTACGTATGAAGCGCGAATCTTTCTTCTCTTCTCCGTAGTGGAAACGTGGCGCTCTCTGATTGCGATATCTCGCGCCTCACGTAAATTTAATATTTGTTCAAGTTGCATATGTAATATCGGTGATTGGCAAAAGTAATCTATGTGAGGTTTCGCATCCTGCTGGGCCCATCGTTAGCGAATTAGGCGGAAGCCTTTCGCAGTCCACGGTCCCACAGCATCAATTTCATCTGGCGATATATGACGCAACAGACGCGAAGTTCATCTCTCCACCTTTTCCCCGCTCTGAACGTGATTGCCTCAATGACGCACGTAGCGCGATAAAAATTTTCAATTTATCTCTTTCTCTCTCTCTCTCTCTCTCTCTCTCTCTCTCTCTCTCTCTCTCTCTCTCTCTTTCTCTCTCTCTCTCTCTCTCTCTCTCTCTTTCTCTCTCTCTCTCTCGCTCTCTCTCGCTCTCTCGCTCTCTCGCTCTCATCGCTTCCACAAATAAATTTACTTTTTCCGAGGATAATATTCTGTTCTCTTCACTTTCATCGTAACATTGACATAAAAGATATTACGTGTTCAATTGGAAGCGTTCTTTTTGTCGTTTGCACAGGTGTAAATGAGTCGTATTTTGATCATTTTTATCGCAATAAAATACTTATTTCGTTCTCATCAACGACACTTTGAGATATCGCGCCACTCATTTTCGCAAAAACTTGATCTATTTTGTTCAGGTACATACAATACGTACTCGTGTTATTAAATTCCAATCATCTTGCCATTCAAAGAATCTTACAAATTTCGACAGGTAACGACAAGATCGTAATTATTATTCGAAATTGTGAAGAGAGACAGAACATCATAGCGCGAGAGAGAGAGAGAGAGAGAGAGAGAGAGAGAGAGAGAGAGAGAGAGAGAGAGAGAGAGAGATCACGATAGATCGCGATAGAGAAAGATCGCGGCATTCTCAATCGGTTACGGCTTCTCATTTGTTGTGTGAAATCAATCACGCGAGCGACAATCCGTTCACAAACGGCTCGCGCCGCCAAGACGAGGAAGGATTTTTAACGTCGGCGCAGAGCGTTCGTCATCCCTATAGGATATAACGATTGCACCTATCGGGATGTGTAATGTGCGCACGCGGGCGCAAGGAGTCGGTAATATATAAACACGGCAACCGCGTCACTTGAGAGTCGTCCTAAGCGAGGCATCCTTCGTAGGCATCGGCGTCAATTGAATATTGTTGTTTCGCGCGCGTTGTTACTACAACAAGCCAATTCGCGGTAATTAACGCGAAAGTGTGTTATCATGTGAGTCCTCTTCTTCTCGTTCACCGCTCGGCACGGCACGGCACGGTCTCACTCTGATATTCCGTTAAAAATGATATCTGACTGGTTAAAGATGTTCCAATTTGTTCGCGATATTTGTCACAAACATAAAGACCGAGAGATAAAGTTGAGATTTCGCTTCGTGCGGAATTTCGCTAATCGTTCGTCGCGAAGATTCGCCGCGGAGAATTCGTCGCGAGACTATTTAACGCGAGCGAGTAAATACAAAATTGTCGCACACGTCGTTGAGCGGATCGTCCGCATTAGTAGCGCGGAAAAAGCCGAATTTTCGCTCACGCCACATTTCCACCACACTCTTGGCGTTTGTTTGCGGAAATTGTTATTTCGCGTTATTTCGGGGATATTTTGCATACGTGCGCGTTATCTCTCGCGCGTGTTCATTACGCACCGGTGCAGTGATACTACGGTACTACTGTACTGTATGCAGTGTCGAAGAGATATTTGTATAAAATTCACGTAAAATTCACGCTGGAATTCGTCACGCCGGCGTCGTCACGCTGGGAGCGCAGCGCAGCGCATCGCAGTACGCTCGTTAAGCGCACATTTTTATAACACAATAAGCTGATGTTTCTACACACCGACGAGTCTTCCGTTACTCGCGACGACGCGCGGACGTTTCTATCGTGCCTTCATCATCACTCATGACAGCTTCTTGTTTTTCAGGTTTCGTAGGGCGCCAGTGAGCTTACTCACCGTAGCGTTTCTGTTCTGTTTGATTCTCGCGTTGAGTGTCGAAGCTCAGTTAACTTACTCCACCGACTGGGGTAAAAGGAGCCAAAATGTGCGGATGAAATCGGACTGTCCGTCGCGAAGCACGTCGTTACTGGAACAATTGTTGAAGTTGTACACGTTCGTACAGGTACGCGACGCGTAAAACGCGAAAATGCAAATGAAAAACATCTCGACGTCCAGCGACGAGATCTGCGCGATCGAGGAGAACACGCAGCGTGATGATTTGGCGCGATTTGGCGTTATTTACAGATCGAAGCGCAGAGGATCCTGGATTGTCAGAACCTGAACAAATGAAAGCAAGCAGATCGTCGCGTTTTCCCTCATCGAACGGACTCCTGTCGAGACTATTCTCCGTCTCAGGCGAGACTACGGAAAATGACATGATTATTTGAATAAACGTGATGCAACGCAACGCCCCGTGTCTCTTAATTTTCTTTCTATACGGATATACCGATTGTGCGACCGATTGTCGCAAATGTCTTATTCCATTCGTCTTATTCGTTTCGTGACGTTTCTAGCGTTTCCAGCGCATCTCGGCAACGTATCTCGGCGAAAGGAATGAGGCGCGATAATTTCCATCTGCTTGTTATACCATCCGCTTTGTGCATAACACTTGATTGTAACATGAGCCAATATTGAGGCAAGTGGTAAACGGCATTGAAGCTGGCCCATCCGAAAACCAGCCGGCCAAACTACCAAACTACCGTCACACAGATTGTCTCTGTAATCTACAAGTGTTTCGTTCCGCCGCGGCGAATGTAGCCTTGAAAATAAACGTTTGTTGCGGTCTCTCTCTCTCCTCTCTCTCTCTCTCTCTCTCTCTCTCTCTCTCTCTCTCTCTCTCTCTCTCTCTCTCTCTCTCTCTCTCTCTCAAGGAGTGGATCAACAATTAGCATCAGCCAAAGCTCCTGTTGTTCCTCTTTTTTGTTCCTCTTCCAGAATGAAGACGAAAACTGCGTGATTAGAAGACCGATAGTTTCTTAGACGTTTCGTACACTACACATGCACGGGAATGCGTCGTTAGTATGGCTTTTGTCGCTCTTTATCGCGATATCGTTGTACGTTGTTCTGTAATGTCAGTATCGTCCGTCGTTGAAAGATGCAACAGCCACAGTCGACGGTTGCGCATATTCGAATCTTAATCACTACTTTGGCATAATGAGCATATACAGATTCCCGCTTTCAAGTGCGCTCGACCGAAAAACAGAAGAACCGGGTGAAATTTGTTTTCGATTAATTACGACATTATGCATGTGGCTCGTGTCAACGAGCACACATGTACATATGTATACATACATACATGCATACATACATATATACATATATATAATGAAAAGCGACGACATGCGCGTCGTAATTTCTCGGTGCCGCATTTCTCGGGAATCTCGAAACAGTACGGACTGGGCTCGCGAATTTTCTGATTGTTCTCCGGCTGATCTCGCTGTCTCGCTGTTATGCAATCGTCAAAAAATCAACACTGAGGTATTCCGTTTTTATCGGTCGGTAATTTTAATCGGTCATCATGAAGAATATTTTCATGGTAAAAATTTTTCCGCGTTTTCCATCGCCGTGCAGCCAATGAATAAAGATCGCGGCGTTTTCACTCGTTGAGTTCCGCATTATATGCATTCAACTGGAAAATGTGTATGCTGCTGAAAATTATTGAAAGTGAAGATTCTCTTGTATCGAATATGGGACGTCTTGCGAAAGGCATCGAGGAAAGGATATTGCAAACTTTAATCATCTGACTATAGTTTGCGACATTTTTACGAGACGGACATGTCGTAAAGTTTAACGTTTGATTCTCTTGCTAGAGACGCGCGCGATTCGTAAGACGATTAGGAGATTGTGATAGAACGTATTAGAAAGACGTAAATAAATATTTTCATGCATGCTTACAGATAAATCATACTTCCACAAAATGTGGAAAATCATCAGTCTTCTAATTGTATCCTTGGCTCTTTCTCACGACGCTCTTAGTTATCAACTCCGCGACGTCAGCGACGGTAAGAGTCGACAACGTACATTACATTGTCCTCCCTTTCGGAGGGAAGAGAGCATACTAAGCACACAAATAGCATACTAACAAACGACGGCAGCTGACACAAAGTACCTGGTATCGTCGCGCACTACTTTACTACTACTCCCTTTCACAGGGAGATATGAGTCCAACGAGAGTGTCCGACCGTCGGATGTGATCTATCGACAAAATCAGCACCGACAACGACCCAAGTATCAGTTCAAATGTGTAAAACCCGGTGTCTATCCTGACCCGCACGACTGTAGATTGTATTACGTGTGCGCGAAATATGGGCGTCGTCAGCATGTTGCGAGATACGTTCGCAAGTGCGATTTTGGTCTGGTTTTCTCATACAAAGACGGCGGTACCTGCACGCAACCTCGAGAAAGCGGAAGAGTGGAGTGCAGCGGTTATTCGCCGTGGGAGCAGCGAGATCATTCAGGTAATGGATTTGTCAGCGAAACACTAAGTAAAACGAGCATAACGGGGGGGGAAGATCGAGATACCGAGCGACAAGACGGACACGTCGCAGGTATCGAATGTATTGGAGCTGAATTACTCGAAAGAAATCGTAGAACGGCGGTCCCGGAATGAGATGCACCGGATTGTAGAGCCATCGGAAATGTCATATATGAGGAACATTCGAATGAGGAGAATATGTCGGAAATCGAGGAGGATACAACACCGCGCGTTGCCGCGTATCTCGCCTCGAGAAAAGTGACATGATGAGTAACAAAACATGCGAAGGGTTCGTATCGCATTCCGAGGACAAAGCGATGTATTATAGATGCGTTCGCATACGCGTTCCGGTGTATACAGGTTGTACGAGTTTTCGTGTAACGCTGGAACAATATGATATCGAGTAAAGCTGATGTGCTCGTCTCCTCGTAATGTAATCGAAAGTGCAGATCAAGAAATTGAGATGAGCGAAACGGCCAACAATAGGCAGCTAAATAGATACAGACACCAAATTTAATATGCATCAAATACTCGACAGGCGTTTCAAATATTTCCCTTTAATTTAGTTTTCGTCAACTAACGCGTCATCCATTCTAGTGCACGAGTATATTGAGCAATTTATCGAGGAAATATCGTGACATGTCTCTAGTCATTGTTAAGTATTATTCTGATAGGCAAAACATGACACGTTATACACTATATATATATATATATATATTAGGAGCTTGCATGTATTCTGATCATTTTTTCACTTTAAAAAGACATTTATTGAAAAAAATCGGTACAATATATTTCAATCAAAATATTTTCCATCATTTTCTACAACTTTTTCCCATCTTTCTGGCAACATGGCGATACCGTGTTGAAAGAACGATGTTGGTTCGGAAGCGATCCAATCATCGATCCATTTTCGCACTTCTTCAGCATTTCGAAACCGTGTGCCAGCCAAGCCATGCTGCATCGATCTGAACAAGTGGTAATCAGAAGGCGCTATGTCTGGTGAGTACGCTGGGTGCGGCAGAACTTCCCATTCGAGCTGCAACAGTGTATCCTTCACAACTGTTGTAACGTGAGGTCTAGCGTTGTCATGCAAGAGGATGACTTTGCGTCTGTTACTCGCTATTGCTGGTCTCTTTTGCAACAATACGTCGTTCAATTTGTTCAATTGACGTCGGTAGACATCTGCAGTAACAGTTTCATTCGGTTTTAGCAGCTCGTAATACACTACACCGTGCTGATCCTACCATACGCACAGCAAGACTTTATGGCCATGAATATTTCTCTTTGGTGTCGATGTGGATGGCTCTTCTGGACTAACCCATGACTTTTTGCGTTTGGGATTGTTGTAGTAGATCCATTTTTCATCGCCAGTAACAATACGCCACAGAAAACTCTTCTTTTTTTGCCTGGCAAGCAATGAAACTGCGATGTTGAAACGGTTCGAAATGGCATTTTCAGTCAATTCGTATGGTATCCATTTTCCCTCCTTTTGGATCTTTTCCATCGCATGTAAACGTCTGGAAACAGTTGATTCATCAACTGCTAAGCTATCCGAAAGTTCTTTGAGAGTTTGAGCTGAGTTTTCGTCCAATAAGTCTTGCAATTCGTTGTCTTCGAACTTTTTTGGTCCTCCAGGCCAGGTTCTTTGTCATTGACATTAAAATCACCACTTTTAAACCGTTGAAACCAAAACCGACAATTGGGATATGACGGAGCAGCATCACCATAAATTCTAAAAAGTGTTTGATGGGCTTCGGCAGCAGATTTCTTCAAATCAAACAACAAAAGTAATGAATGTCGAAAATGCAATTTTGAGCGTTCCATGATTAGCGTCTGTATACACTGAATAACTCAATAATACTAAATGGTAAACTGTTATTTGATGTAGAGAAATGTGAAAACCATCGAATTTAACAGTTAGGTTAGGTTGTTTTACATTGATACTTCGCATTTTCACCAATATATGGCGCTGATCAAAATACATGCAAGCACCTAATATATATATATATATATATGTGAATATCTGAAAATATGATATAATTATGAGCGAGGAGCAAGGATTATATAAGCAGTAGGCAGTAGGCATCGATGTAAGATATTAAAAACTTGGGGAAATGTAACAAAATATAAAGGTATAATATGAAAATATAAGTATAATATGAATATAAGTATAAGTAAAGTATAATATGTATATAAAAACAACCGACAAAATTGATTAGAGTCAAAGTGTAGAAATTCCGAAACTCCGAGAACAGATGAAAAGAAATATCATTATATTTCTGTACGTCGATGTCGGGATGAAAACAAGTGTAAAGAAGTGCAATATGTCTCATTGCAGCAGACACAGATGATCAATATCCAAATTGGCGGGATAACAGACCAAATCGGAATAAATCAGGTAAACTATCAAATATCAATGTAAACAAAATCAATGTAAGCACACATACTCAATATGAGAGATGAAATAAAAATTTATTACAATTATTAATTTCAGGAAAAGAAGAATCGAACGATTCGCATTATCCTAAGAAGCATAAAGAAGAAGACAAAAGTCGCGAGAAGCATGAGAAAAGAGACAAGTCACGCAAACATGATAGTGATGAGTCAAAGAGCGATAGTAGCGACAGTAGCAGCGATGAACATCATAACGGAGGATCAAAACCGACAACGAAGAAAGACAGCAGCAATGAAATGAAAGAAACGACAAAAGCATTTATTACAGAGGAAGACGATGTTCCGACTACATCAGCATTACCGGACAAAGCGCAATCAGTCGAAGAAAGCTCGCAGAGTGATGATAATACGGACGAAGGAACAGCAGGGGATAGCGAGAACAATGAAATGGAAGGAGAAAGGACACACCGTCCAGAAAAGAGACATTCTGGAAGTGAAGAAAGCAACGAATCCGAATCTGGAAGTAAAAGAAAGCATAAAAATAACAAAAAGCACAATAAAAAAGAACATAAGAATAAAGGAAAGAATGGCAAGAAAGATAAATCGGATGAAAAACACAAAAATCGTAGCGACGATTCAAGGAGCAGCGGCAGCAGTAGCAGTAGTAGCAGCGAAGAAAATATCAGAGGACCTAAATCGACAACGAAAAAAGCTACCAGCGAAACAACAGGCACGACAAGAGCGATTGTCACGGACAGAGACGTTGTCCCGACGACACCCGTAACGTCCGATGAGACAGACACCATTACAGAAAGATCGGAAAGCAAGGAAGAAGAAAGCGGTGAATCCGAAGGTACTACCCCACAACTTTCTAAGGAAGTAAGTCAAAGTCCTGAGAATAATCAATTTGAAGATAATACACCGCGTAACTCTAAGGAAGAAGACAGAATTCGCGAAAGTGGCGAATCGCAAGGAAATAGCGGGGAAAACGAAGAATTGAAAAAGACTACACCGCAAATACCACCCGATGAAACTACTGAACACGTAACTACGGAACACGTTCCAAGAACGGAATCTTCTGAAGGCGAAGACGAAATTGAAACGATAACAAAATGCACCGGGCCTGATTACTTTCCGGATTTGAATGATTGCACCAAATTTTACAGATGCACTCAAGTGGGTTTTAACACATACGAGAAACGTCAGTTTTCATGTCCGCAAGGTACTCTATGGGATCAGGAACAGTTAATATGTAACCATGAAGCGTCCATAAAACGATTATCTTGCAAAAACAAGAGACCAGATGGTGACCAAAGCATGGAGAACGATGAAAACAAATCCAATCAAAACTCACGCGATACTAACGAGGGGAATCGGAGCCATGAGAGAGGTGAATCTCAAGAAACAACGCGAGATGCGCCAACCTCAGAAAGCGAAGAAATCGAAATAACTACTCGGCATGCATCCATGGAAACAACAGACGGTAATGAGAATAAAGAATTTGAGAAGACTACAACAGAAGAACCATCCGACGACAGCTCTGCAAGCAAGGAAAGTACGGAGAGTGTGACCCCTACACCGCGTGATATTAGCGAAGAAAATCACAGTCGCGACATCGAAGAATCCGGAAAGTTTACGCCGCAGGTGCCGCCGAAAGAACACTCTGATAGCAACGAAGCTCGGGAGACAGAAACTACTACAATACGTAATTCCATAGAGGAAAACCGGAATCAAGAGAGCGAGGAATCGGTTGGTAGCGCATCACAGGAGTCACAGAAAGAAAACAGTGAGAGCAAGGAAGGAGGTGAAGCCGAATTAACTACCCCGAGCGTTCAGGAGGTAGAAAGTGGCAGCGAGGAACGTGGAGTATCTGGTAAGACCACAACGCATGTACCACCGACAGAAAATTCTGAAAGCGACGAAACCCAGGAGACAGAAGCTACTACAGCACATAATTCGAAGGAGGACAACCAGAATGGAGAAGATGAGGAATCGGCTGGTGATACATCAGAGGAACGATCGAATGTGAACAGTGAGAGCAAGGAGGAAGGTGAGCCGGAAGTAACTACTCTGCGCGTCCCGGAGGAGGAAATTGGCAGCGAGGGAAGTGAAGAATCTGGAAAGACTACAACTGATTTGCCAGTGACAGAAAAGTCTGAGAGCAACGAACCCCCGGAGGCAGAAACTACTACTACAGCACGTAATTCGAAGGAGGAGAACCAGAATGGGGAAGATGAGGAATCGGCTGGTAGCACGCCACAGGAACGATCGAATGAGAGCAGTGAGAGCAAGGAAGAAGGTGAGCCGGAAGTAACTACCCTACACGTCCCGGAGGAGGAAAATGGCAGCGAGGGAAGTGAAGAATCCGGAAAGACTACAACGTATGTACCACCGACAGAAAACTCTGAAAGCGACGAAACCCAGGAGACAGAAGCTACTACAGCACACAATTCGAAGGAGGACAATCAGATCAATGGAGAAGATGAGGAATCGGCTGGTAGCACGCCACAGGAACGATCGAATGAGAGCAGTGAGAGCAAGGAAGGTGAGTCGGAAATAACTACTCCGCATGTCCCGAAGGAGGGAAGTGGCAGCGAGGAAAGTGGAGAATCTGGGAAAAGTACACCGCATATGCCACCTACGGAAAGTTTTGGAAGCGAGGAGTCATTGGGAAATGAGAAATCTACTCCCACTTCGTCCAAGGAAGGGCATCAAGATTTCGAAAGTGATGAAGCGGAGATAACTACTTCACGAATATCGACTGAGAAAAGCGTGGGATGTAGCGATAGTTTTGAAAATGAATGTACCACTCGTAATTCGGAGGAAAAAAGGGAGAGTGTTGAGAGTAATGAGTTTGGGCAGACTACGCCACAAGGTCTACTGGATGAAAGTCTACTCTCTGAGAATGAGGAGACTTCCGAAATAGATAACGTTATTCCAACTTCTTCGACTTCTTCGGGTGAAGTAAGTCAGAGTGATGAGAGTGGTGAATTTGAAGCGACAACGCCATTTGTACCAACCAGAGAAAGTCTCGAAAGTAGTGATAGTTCCGAAATTGAGATTACTACTCGACATATTCCTGGCGAAGAAGAAAATGAGAGTGATGAAAGTAGAGTGATGGAAGAGACGACTTTGCCCGCGTCTTCTGAGGAAACAGTTTCCACAAGCCTTCCATCGTCTACTGAGTTTTCGATGGGAACTACCATTCCTATTGGAGTTACATGTCCTGTTGGAGAATTGATCGGAGATCAAGTATTTCTTGTTTGCCCTACTGGTTTTCGACGTCATCCAAAATACTGTAATCTTTTTTACCAATGCATGGCGACGAGTAATTTGGGCGGCCAGATTACTGTTTTCAGTTGTCCATTAGGCAGAGTATTTGACGACAAGAAGCTGCAGTGTGTGGTGAAATCTAATATCCATAAAATTCTTGCTGAGCACGGGACGTGCAAATATTTCGATCCTGTAACTACGGATCGACCAGTAACGCTTGTAAGTATAATATGAATAATGAAGATGCACTATATCTTATGTAAAATGATGTTTGAATGTTAATATAAGACATTATCTTGGTGAATACAAAGCAGTTTAATGGAATATCTTAATTTGACTACGTTTGAATGATGAAACTCATGTATACATACTACTGAATAAGTTCTTTCTTTTTCTTGTAATTACTGAAGGAAGCGACGAAGTTTGTTATAAATTATTATATTGCTATTTTCGAAAGCTAAAGCGAAATTACTGATTGGCTAATTACTTTGTAGGGGAATGTTCACAGTGTTTTATATTTGTTTCCTTTTTGTTTGTAGCTGGAAGTCTCCAAGATGAAGTTGTGTCCAGGGGAAGGTTATTATCCATACGATAAGGGTTGTTGGAATTCGTACTACAAGTGTAAACGTGATTTGCGGAAAGTATTGCAAGGATATCTCGTGCAATGTCCGAATGACCATATGTTTTCAAATATTTTAAGAAGCTGTGTACATATGAAACATCCTCAAATACGTCAACTTTGCGAAGATGCTTGTACTGGGAAACAACATGATTATCCAAGCGTTAATGCACAACGTGTATCTTTCATCCGAAGGATTATACACAAATCATAAACAGTTGTTTTATATTTACCCACTGCGGCATAAAGTACAGTTTTAAGAGAAAAGGGAGAATGAGATGTATACTAATGTGCACATTTTTTATACAATATTTGAGAAAGTCATTGTGTGAAATATTAATATATTGTTGTTATTGTGACAATTGTATTTGCTCGACAGAATTATTTCTTTTAGTTTTTGAATAATCAATAAAGAGGAAAACATTGCGCACAACTGAAAGGTTTTTAGAAATGTATGAATGTTCGGAAATGTGCGAGCAACGTCATTCAATCACGTTAGTTCACGTAATCTGTTTCGTAATATGCCTTTCGACTCTATTGTGAACAGATTTATCCGCATAAATTCCGGAATAATTAGATCTCGCATTATTCTATAATAACTCGATATATCTTGTAGCACAACAACGTGAATGTGACACTACGTGCATATCGTTATAATCGTCGAGCCGGTGCTTCCGCCGGCGCCCCGCGCGTAGCGCCTTCTAGTGCCGATTGCGGCCGCTACGCGGCGCGCTCACCGATTCCGCTGCTCACAGCTAAGATTCAGCCGCCCGGGTGATATAACCGAGCGCGACAGTGAGCCGAGTGCCTTCGCATGGCCCAACGCCGATTGTGGCAATCTCTGGTGTCTGATCTAGGCTGTGTGACTTGTAGCTCCAGTCTTTTTACCGCGACCTGCTCTAGGCTTTCCTAGTACAGTTTTGGCGTGTAGTATAGATTCGAACCACCGCACTTACACACAACTCTGCTGAGTTAGAGAAGGCGGGCGCTGATATACTGCCCCTGCTTTTTTTGGGGGTTTTTTGAGGCTAATGGGTTCGAATGGTAACTGTGGTTAGTTTTGAGTTCTCAACCTGTTTCCACGATTCAGGAGAGCGACCAGTTGCCGCCTCCGTGTGGAACTGGTGAAAATTCTCTCTTTCCAAGCGTCCGTCAAGGACCTTGTGGCTATCAGGAGCGACGTGGCCGCCTCTTTTTGGATGCTTGTGGCGAACTCTCTCCTTTTCCAAGCGTTCGTCAAGGACATTGGCAATTTCAGGGGCGTCGTGTGACCGTTTCCCATGAGAACTCTCTGAGCTCTCGTTCCAAGCGTCCGCAGGACCTTGTTGGCCAGTCACACAGGAGCGAGCGACTCTGTCTCTCCTCCAGCGTTGTTGATAGCTGCGCTTCAGCTCTCTAGTTTTCTTTTTCACGGGTTCTCTGGACCACCGTGGCATCTTGCTGGCCGTTGAGTTCGGAAGGGCAGGGGCTTTCGAAACGACGGCGGCGGAGGTCGTTTCACTCTCGCGCTCGTAGACATACTTGTTACGAGTGCTGTTCGGCTTTCTCGACTCGGATTTACGACCCGAGAAGGCCGCACGAGATCCGAGTATACTACCATCCCAAACTCCGATCCTTTTGATAAGGGTGTTCCAGCATCCCCGCGTCACTGCCTCTAAACGAAAATGGCGCGGCAACAATGAAAAATGTTAAGGTAACATTAATAAACATACTGTTAGCGCTAATCTGACTTCTGAAGAACTCTTAAGCGTCGGTTATCCCATCTCCACATAAATTGTAGGTGCTTCTTCAAAAGGTGTGTGCTCGATAAATATGCGCCGATATGCCTGCTGGATGAGGCGGGGTAAAGCTTCTCGAGCGCGTCATCGCTGACCGTCTCGTCCATCATTTGTACCTGGGAAGGCCAACAATTTGGTTTCCGGTTGGATAGATCAATTCTGAACGTGGATTGCGTATTGATAGCGTCCGAAAGCTTATCCGGCAGCCCGTAGAGATGGAGGAGTGTTGTTGGCGGTGTCCCTATCAACGTCTTCAACACCCTCCACTGAGCGCTTCTCTACGTGTATGTGCGTTTTTCAGAATTTTTCTGCGTTTATGTGCATTTCTGCGCATTTTTCTGCGTTTATGTGCGCTTCTGTGTGTTCTTTGCGTTTTTTTACGTTTATGTGCTTTTTGCGCGATTTTCTGCGTTTCTTTGCGTTTTTCTGCGTTTACGTGCGTCTCTCTACGTTTTTCAGCGTTTTATGTGCGTTTCTCAATCTTTCTGCGTTTTTCGGCGTTTATCTGCATATTTTGGCGTTCTTCGGCGTTTTTGTGCGTTCTCCAGCGTGTTTCGGCATTTTCCTGCGCCTTTCGGCAATTTTATGCGTTTTTCAGTGTTTTTCGGCGTTTTCCTGCGTTTCTCGACTTTTTTCTGCGTTTGTAACGGCCACGCCTCCGGTTCGGTTTTTCGTTGATCCGATTCTGCGCTCCGATCGTTCGTGACGTGTCGGGCACAAGAATTTCTAGGAGAAGGTGAGCAATCAGTCGGACGTGTGTGTGTGTGTGTGTGTGTGTGTGTGTGTGTGGATGCTTTATTATTCTTTAATCTGGAGGCTTTTGCGGGCGCACGCCGAGTTCGTGTGTTGTCGCTCGATGTATCGCAATTCTTGTTTCGCTGTCGGCTGGCACGCACCGTGGAGATCTTGTCACAATGTTTACAACGAAGAAAATGTGTTCGAGTACATGTGGACAGAAGCCGACATGAACGTTACATGCGTTGAGATGGATTTTACATGCCAAGTAATTAGAGGAAATTCACAGGAGTCAAACAGCGATAATATTTGGGTATAAAAAATGCCTGAGGCGATCTATACATCGAAATAAAGAAGTTAATTGGTGTATTGCATACGAACAGTGACTTTTGTTAACTTATTGATTTTTTGAAATTTCAAAATCATAAAATTAATAAAAATCAGGGCGCTATTGTAACAATATCTTGAGACCAAATAAAGCAAGAAAGTCTAGTACGACTTTTCTTTTTCGGCAAATAATTAGCGAGATATCGTAAATTAAATATTGAAAAAATTATCAAGTTTTACCTCAAATATCTAAAAAAATATTAGACAAATAAAAAAATGTTTTAGACAAAAGTTAACTAGTAAAAAAACGCAGTGTAATAAAGAATAAGGGTTCCCATTTAAAAGACGCAAGTTGATCTTCAAATGACCTTGAAAATAGAGGTCAGGGTCAAAGTCAAGGTCATCATAGGGTATGGGTTAGGTTGTGACCGCTTATCGGACTGATAAAAAAAAATAATTTTTCTTTAATGAACCGGACTAGGGTTATCCACCACGAGTCGGTCTGACCTATCTCCTTAGGAATTTCCAATCCTAACCGTGTACTCCCCCATCAGCTTTGCCTCCACTCACCCTGACGCGCGTATAGATCCAAACCATACACGTGATCACCATTTACGGTTCTTACTTCACCATCCTCGTTTTTCGAAGTATGGTGAGTCCCTTTTTATTTAGTACGGTCGCCACCCTATCTTTTTACCAGGAACAGGGAAACCTGATTATTAGAATGTCACCGATTAAGGTAATTAATGGTGATCCAAGATTTTCACTGTTATTTAATAATTATTTATTGTTGTCCGAATTCAGATTCTCGTCTCTGAACGGTCGCTACGTCGTCAAACAAATAAAACATGACTCGGCTTGTTTAATAAAAAACTCTTCTTTAATTATTATCTTTACTTCATGTATACAAAACATAAATCGTTATAAATCATTATTCACGTTAATACGAGGGTAGTTTGATAAGTCAGTGACTTTTTTAATAAAAGATATTTTTTTCGGCAAATAAGCGTTTTATTTCTCGACGTAGTCTCCTTTTAGCTCGATACATTTAGTCTACCGTTTTTCCAATTTTTTTATTCCTTCCAAATAATAGGTTTTCTCAAGGCCCTCAAAATAGGCGTTTGTTTCAGTGATGACCTCTTCATTCGACCCAAATCTCTCACCGCCCAGCCATTTCTTCAGGTTTGGAAACAGGAAATAGTCGCAGGGGGCTAAATCTGGTGAATATGCTGCATGGGGTAGCAGTTCGTAGCCCAATTTATGGATTTTTGCCATGGTGACTACACACATGTGCACCCGTGCATTGTCCTGATGGAACAGCACTTTTTTCTTCGCCAAATGCGGTCGTTTTTGCTCCAAATCAATATCGAATCTGTCCAAAAGCTCTGAATAATATTCGCCGGTGATCGTTTTACCCTTTTCAAGGTAATCGATGTGAATGATACCGCGTGCATCCCAAAAAACTGTGGCCATGACCTTTTGTTGGTCGACAGACCCACCTTGGCCTTCTTTGGTGCACGTTCACCCGAAGAAACCCACTGTCTTGATTGTTCCTTGGTCTCTGGTGTAGTGTGATGGATCCATGTTTCGTCTACGGTAACGAAACGGCGCAAAAGCTCGTTCGGATTGCGGCTGAACATCGCCAAACACTCTTTTGAAAAATGGTTACACGGTTGCGCTTACGGTCGAGTGTGAACAATCGCGGCACCCATCGCGCGGATAGCTTTTTCATGTCCAAATATTCATGTAAAATGTGATGTACCCGCTCAGTTGAGATGCCTACTACAGCCTCAGTCACTTCACGCACTTTCATTCTCCGATCGTCCAATATCATTCCATGGATTTTATCGACGATTTCTGGCGTGACGACCTCTTTTGGGTGACCTGAACGTTCGGCGTCACTTGTGCTGGTACGACCAGCACGGAACTCAGTAAACCACTTAACCATTGAAATTGATGGTGCAGAGTCCCCATAGTATTTATCAAGCTTTGCCTTGGTTTCGGTGATGGTTTTTTTATGCAAAAAATAATGCTTAATCAGCACACGAAATTCACTCCTTTCCATTTTCGTTAAAATTCACGAGGCTGTCTGCTTTCAATGGCTGTCAAACACTAACTAAATGGCGCAGCTTGCCCAAACTTGTACAGTAGTCTGTTAATAGATGGCAGTTGACGGGAGCAGAGTGCTGCATTTAAAGTTACTGTGCGGAAAATTCAAAAAGTCACTGACTTATCAAACTGCCCTCGTATATTTCTATACTTAATATTGTAAACGATCACATATCGGTGTGTGTCTGCGTCTGATTGCGCTTCAATTATTCTTGTTAATATCAATAGTAAAGCTTCGCATCTAATTGTATATCATTTAATTTATTTGTGTCAACAATTATTAATCTCGAAAACGCTTTCGGACACTACTCGCGAGTTCGGTTGATTGCGTCTGAGGATACCCGTTTTCGAACACTACACACGAGGTTGCATAAATCCTATCTCGACTAATTAA